TGCCGTGCGGATCGTCGCGGTGGTCGTTTTGGCAGAGCTTCTGGGCGCACACGGCAGAAAAAGATCAGGAGCACGGCAGAATAGGCCCCAAGAGCGAAGGAGCACGGCAGAGAAAGACAAGGAACACGGCAGAATAGACCCCAAGAGCAAATGAGTACGGCAGAATACACCCCAAAAGCTAAGGAGCACGGCAGAAAATGACCAGGAGCACGGCAGAATAGACCTCAAGAGCTAAGGAGCAGGCAGAAAAAGACCAGGAGCACGGCAGATTAGGCCCCAAGAGCGAAGGAGCACGGCAGAAAAAGACCAGGAGCACGGCAGAATAGACCCCAGGAGCTAAGGAGCAGGGCTGGATATGCCTCAAGTGCGAAGGAGTACGGCAGAGAAAGACCAGGAGCACGGCAGGATAGACCCCAAAAGCTAAGGAGCACGGCAGAGAATGACCAGGAGCACGGCAGAATAGGCCCCAAGAGCGAAGGAGCACGGCAGAAAAAAAACAGAAGCACGCCAGAGTAGACCCCGAGAGCTGAAGGAGTGCGGGAAAATAGACCCCAAGAGCGAAGGAGCAAACCAGAAAAAGACGAGGAGCACAGCAGAATAGAACCCAAGAGACAAGGAACACGGCAGAATATGCCCCAAGTGCGAAGGAGCACGGCAGAAAAAAAACAGGAGCACGGCAGACAAAGACCAGGAGCACAGCAGAATAGGCCCCATGAGCGAAGGAGCACGTCGGAAACAAACCAGGAGCATGGCAGAATAGACTCCAAGAGCTGCCGAGCACGGCAGAAAAAGACCAGGAGCACGGCAGAATAGACCCCAAGAGCTAAGGAGCACGGCATAATAGACCCCGAGAGCGAAAAAGACGCCAGAAAAAAAGACTAGGAGCACGGCAGAAGATGCCCCAAGAGCTAAGGACGACGGCAGAAAAGACCGAAACCACAGCAGAAAAGGCCCGAGGAGCCAAGGAGTACGACAGAAAAGACCAGGAGCACGGCAGAATAGGCCCGAAGAGCGAAGGAGCAAACCAGAAACCGACGAGGAGCACGGCAGAATAGAACCCAAGAGACAAGGAGCACGGCAGAAGATGCCCCAAGTGCGAAGAAGCACGGCAGAAAATGACCAGGAGCACGGCAGAATAGACCCCCAGAGCTCAGGGGCACGGCAGAAAAAAAGACCATGACCACGGCATATTAGACCTCAAGAGCTAAGGAGCAGGCAGAAAAAAACAGACCAGGAGCACGGCAGAATAGGCCCCAAGAGCGAAGGAGCACGGCAGAAAAAGACCAGGAGCACGGCAGAATATACCCCATGAGCTAAGGAGCAGGGCTGGATATGCCTCAAGTGCGAAGGAGTACGACAGAGAAAGACCAAGAGCACGGCATAATAGACCCCAAAAGCTAAGGAGCACGGCAGAGAATGACCAGGAGCACGGCAGAATAGGCCCCAAGAGCGAAGGAGCACGGCAGAAAAAAAAACAGAAGCACGCCAGAGTAGACCCCGAGAGCTGAAGGAGTGCGGGAAAATAGACCCCAAGAGCGAAGGAGCAAACCAGAAAAAGACGAGGAGCACAGCAGAATAGAACCCAAGAGACAAGGAACACGGCAGAATATGCCCCAAGTGCGAAGGAGCACGGCAGAAAAAAAGCAGGAGCACGGCAGACAAAGACCAGGAGCACAGCAGAATAGGCCCCATGAGCGAAGGAGCACGTCGGAAACAAACCAGGAGCATGGCAGAATAGACTCCAAGAGCTGCCGAGCACGGCAGAAAAAAAAAAACCAGGAGCACGGCAGAATAGACCCCAAGAGCTAAGGAGCACGGCATAATAGGCCCCAAGATGCCCCAAGAGAAGCACGGCAGAAAATGGCCAGGAGCACGGCGTAAGGACGACGGCAGAAAAGACCAGGACCACAGCAGAAAAGGCCCGAGGAGCCAAGGAGTACGACAGAAAAGACCAGGAGCACGGCAGAATAGGCCCGAAGAGCGAAGGAGCAAACCAGAAAAAGACGAGGAGCACGGCAGAATAGAACCCAAGAGACAAGGAGCACGGCAGAAGATGCCCCAAGTGCGAAGAAGCACGGCAGAAAATGACCAGGAGCACGGCATAATAGACCCCCAGAGCTCAGGGGCACGGCAGAAAAAGACCAGGACCACAGCAGAATAGACCCCAGAGCTAAGGAGCACGGCAGAAAAAGACCAGGAGCACGGCAGGATAGGCCCCATGAGCGAAGGAGCACGGCAGAAAAAAAAACAAAGAGCACGGCAGAATAGACCCCAAGAGCTGAGGAGCACGGCAGAAAAGGCCCCAAGAGCGAAGGAGCATGACAGAAAAACAACAGGAGCACGGCAGAATAGACCCCAAGAGCTGAGGAGCACGGCAGAATAGGCGCCAGGAAAGAAGGAGCATTGCAAAACACGACCAGTGACCAGGAGCACGGCATAATAGACCGCGAGAGCTAAGGAGCACGGCAAGATAGATGCAAGATTACAGCATAATACGCCCCAAGGAAGAAGGAGTATGCAAGACAAACACAAGGAGCACGGCAGAATAAACCCCGAAAGCGAAGGAGCACCGCAGAATATGCTCCAAGAGCTAAGGAGCACGGCAGAAAACGACCAGGAGCAGAGCATCATAAGCCCCAAGAACAAATGATTGTGACATAAAATGGCCAGGAGCATGGCATAATAGGCCCGTAGAGCGAAGGAGGACGGCACAACAAAAAACGAGCATTGCAGAATAGACCCCGTGAGCGAAGGAGCACGGCAGAACTGCTCATTCTCTGCCTTGCTCTTTTTCCCGGAAAGGGCTTAAGCCCAGGGTTCTCTTTTAGTAGGTAAACCTGTCCCCCGGTGCCTGCTTGAAGGAGGCCGGCGAATTTTTTCCCTGATAAATAACGAGGTCGAAGGAGGCCGGCGAATTTTTCCCTGATAAATAACGAGCCCGCGAATTAAAATTTGAGGATGTCTCGAGCGAAACGCTTGTTTTTGAGCGCCCGCGAATTAAAATTTGAGGATGTCTCGAGCGAAACGCTTGTTTTTCAGAATTTGTCGAGGATGTCTCGAGCGAAACGCTTGTTTTTCAGAATTTGTTTTTTCTACCCCCTAGCACGACACCCCAGCACGACCACACCCCAGCAGGACCCCAGCACGACCACACCCCAGCACGACCACACCCCAGCACCAGCACGACCACACCCCAGCACGAACCGATCGATAAGTCACAGGGTTCGGACCACCCCAGCACGACCACACCCCAGCACGACCCCACTCCAGCACGACCCCACCCCAGCACGACCACGCCCCAGCACGACCACACCCCAACACGACCACACCCCAGCACGACCACACTCCAGCACGACCCCGACCCAGCACGACCCCACCCCAGCACGACCACACCCCAGCACGACCACACCCCAGAACGACCACACCCCAGCCCGACCCCACCCAAGCACGACCCCACCCCAGCACGACCACCCCCCAGCACGACCACACCCCAGCACGACCACACCCCAGCCGGACCCCACCCCAGCACGACCAACCCAGCAAAAGACCAACACCCCAGCACGACCACACCCAGCACGACCACACCCCACACGGAAAACCATACTCCAGCACGGACCACGCCCAGCACGACCACACCCAAGTCGAACCCCGTGGAAGTTTAGCGGGGTCTGATCGCACGGTGGCTCATAGCACGTCGTTATAGCAGCACAGATGGAATGCGAGAACATCGTTTAACTCCTTGTCATCTTGATGTGGACATGTTTACCAGTTTTTTTGGCATCTATTTAAAACATATTACGAATTATTTTTGACTTCTGAGGTGTCTTGTTTCGCGGGGTGATCTCGGTGGGACTGATTTCCGTGAGGTGTCGCCCAGTTGGATATCGTGAAAACGTGACCATGCTGCACATGTCTATATCCCTTTCCGGGTTCGTGGGTCCATCATGTTTCGCCAGCCATGCTGCGCCCGATGTTTTGAGGATGTATGCAGCGATAGCGCGATTATTAACACGAGAAGTAGTAAAAACGCCACTCCAAGATATCATTGTTGTTAGGATGTCTCAGGCGAGACGCTCGTTTTTGAACATCTGTCGAATTCGCGGCTTCTCATGTTTAACACACAACAGTGGGAATCAGTGAGGAAGTGGAGGCGTCCCACCAAGAACAATAACCCCACATCTAAGATGTGGGGAACCAATTGAATCGGGCATACAGGACTCGAGCTGCACTGCATGTGGCACCCCCATGCGACATCAACCCTGTAAATGGCCAGTGGCACCTGTGTGCGGGACATCGGGCAATGCCGCTGCTGCTTCTCAAGTTGTGTCTTGCCTTTGCCTGAGGGTGGGTCGTCACCCCGATAGAGAGCTGGGGTGATGCTATCTGGCCAGCCGCAGGCGCTCTGAATAAAGGGCAACTGCTACCTCCTGGGGGTGATGTGTTTCACTTCCGCCGGCTCGCTCTGCCCCCGCCAGCCTTTCCGCCGTCTTGTGCCGAGCAAGACCCGCCGACCCTTCGGTCCCTCGACGGCGAGGCCCTCCCTGGAACGCGCCACATCCGCCCGAGACTGGGCAGCTCGACTTGCTGCCTGCAGCGGGCTCGGTGCGCGACAAGCCTTTCGCCGCGGCCGGCGTGCAGCGGGGAGACCTTGGAGAACACCCGGCCACGGCAGCGCCAAAGGAGCGCCCGATCGGGGGCAGGAGTCGCGCTGGCCCGGCTTCCCCAGACGGGGACCCTGCGGCCCCCACGCCGCTCCCCCGCACAACAGAGCTCGACCCTCCCGATGCTGAGCGCGGACCGACCGTCCGGGCACTACCCTGTAGCACGAGGGGATGCTCCCGGAACCAACTTCAGAGAACATGGGCCCAGTGTATTGAAGCAGCACGGCCTCAGCCAGGAGCCCTCGGAGAAGATCTCTTGCAAGCCACAGCAGGTCCTCAGAAAACCCGTTCGCTACACTAGAAGCCCGCTGCTTGGCCATGGCCGTCCCGCCCGATGGCCTCCATCGGCCGCGGGCTCCGCGGCGCCCCGCGGCGGGCGCGAGTCCCACGCCGTCTTCGCGTGGAGCCCGCCCGCCTCCCCGCGCCCGTCCTGCGCGCGCCGCTGCTGCGTCAGCAGCGTGGGCGCCGCCGTGCGGGCCGCCTGGGCCGCCCCTCCCTAAAACGACGCGAAGATCGGGACAAAATCGGAGCGGGATAACTCGAAATCTCTGAGAATCGGCGGGTTTGGAGGACGTATTGGGCGCCGCGGCCGCTCTCAGAGCGCTCCGGAACGCTCTGAGAGCGCTCCGGAACGCTCTGGAGCGATTTATCCCGATCCTAGCCCTGTTTTAGATTTCGTAACCCCCCCCTTTCCCAATCCCCCCCTTTCGTTCGGCCCGAAACTCTCTCTGTCCGAGGGCGCCCCCCGACGCCCCGCGGGCGGGGCTCGGCCGGGGGCCGCGGCCGCGAGGAGGGCCCGCGCCCCCCGGCGCTGCCCGCGGCCACGGCGGCGCCGCAGACCGGGCTCCCCACCGACGACGAGCCCGACGGCCGACCGAGACCGCCGGGCCGCAGGCTGCCCGGAAGGGCGCCACGGCTCGGGCGAAGCTAGCTCCACGCGGATGAATCCCTACGGAGCGCTCGGTCTCCGCCTGGACCTCCCCTGATAGGATGCGAAGTCCGCGCGGAATGAATCCGCACGGAGTACTCGGTCTCCGTCTGGGCTGCATTACCGTCGGGGCGTTGACCTAAGGAACCCTAAATAAGGAACGAGGCCCCTTTTCTCCATAAATTAAACTTCGATTTCCCGTCGAAGACATAAGGAAACCCTGCGGCAAGCTGCGAAACACTTAAGGAACGCGGAGCCCCTCCCCAACCAAAAGGGTTCCTTCTTCAGGGCCCCGACTGTACCCTTCCTGGATTTAGCCTGTCCTGGGCGCAGCGACGCAACAGCGACGCAGCGGCCGACCGGGCCGAAGTAGGCCGAACGAAACCCACCGCGACGCCCGCCGAACCGGCCGAACCGCGGACGCCTCTGCTGCGCCTCTGCCTGTGGCCCCTCGGGGGCGGCGATGGCCCTGATCTTTCCCCCTCGCTCCGGGGTTGCGACAGGTGCTCCTGGCCCGTGGTGCCCCCAGCCTTTCGCTCACTCCTGGATAAGACGAAGCCAGGACGAGGATAACCTTGGGTGGGAGTAGATCGAGAATCTCTGAGATCCGGCGGCTCTGGAGGATGTCTCGGGCGCCGCGGCCTTCTCAGAGGGTTCCAGAACGCCTTGAGGTTATTCCAGAGCGCTTTGGAAAACATTTATCCTCGTCCTTAGTCCCATCCGGCTGGAGCCCCTGGGGCCCTCTGGGACTCGTGAGGGGTGCCCTGGAGGCCGTGGAGGCCTCCCTTGCGGAAGGGGTATCTTGCTGCTAGTGCTTGTCGCCCTTGGATTTGGGAGCCGACGGGCGCCTGAAACAATTTTCACTGGGGCCCGCCGCCTTCCCGCGAACCGCCCCAAGATGAAGCGTCGGGCAATTCGGGAATGGATGAAACGGGGCAGAATCGCGAGCACACCTGCACCAACCCCGCGCGATGCGCCAGAGCACATCACATCAAGCCCGTGCGACAAATTATCAGGGCCATCCCTACGGGGGTGCGAGCGGCGAAGCTGCCGCCACTTAGGCTGCTGGAGGGTCCAGCGGAGTGACTTGCTATGCACATTCAAATGAAACCTCGCCATCCCTGGATGGGGTGCGCACTGCGAAACCTTTGCTACCTTCGAAGGCTGGTGGGGGATCCAGCGGAGTGACGTTCTACGCGAACTCAGACTAGACCTTGCCATCCCTAGAGGGGTGCGAACTGATAGCATGTCGCCACATTCGAAGGCTGCTGGGGGACCCAATGGAACGACCGTCTACGCACATTCAGACTCGACCTCGCTATCCCGAGGGGGCTGCAAACTGCGGAAACGTCGCTACTATCGAACCGTCTCGCGGCTGCTGTCGCGTTAACTGTTCGGCCCCTCTTCCGTCCTTTTCCTGCCCCTCGTTCCCACCCCCATTTCCTCTTCGAGCCTGGGGCCTCAGTTCTCGTCCTTCTGTTGCTGTCCTTTCGTTCGTGCCACGCGCGCGCTTGCCATCTAGTCTGCGCTACTCATGGCAAATCCTGCGCTTTCGCTCGCCGTATTTTTCTGAACCAGCTTCAGCTTCCCTTGTGGCTTAGTGCAGGTGGGTTGGGAACGTAGCAGGGTCATGTTCAGTCCGCTGGTCCGAGGAATATCCACCCCCTTTTATGTTGGTGCACGCAAGATGTGACCCTGGGCAGGTGAACGCTTGTGTGCGGCTCTGGGATTAGATCGGGCATGTCCTCCAACAGGCGGACTTTGGAAGACAAATTAAGAATAGTGGAGCCATGGTGCAAAATAGTACATAACGGTAAGCGAACATCGTCTCCCGATTATTTGTATCTATTTCTGAATATTCCTCCTGTCGAAGGACGTGACCGACTTACCTTTGGGGGGCACCCGTGGGCCTCCACTCCGGCGAAGGGCCGCTCCTGGGTCGGGCGTATTCCCGAAGTTACAAGCAGATTTTGCAAGAAAAGCGACAAGTTACGCAGCACCCCGCAATTGCGGATAAGAGTAAGGGGGCGGGCGCGGGCGACGCGGGCGTCGTCGAGCCGGCGGACCTTGTGGCCCCCACCTTCCCTGTCGATGGCGCTGTCCTCCTCCTCCTCCTCCTCCTCCTCCTCCTCCTCCTCTTCCTCGTCCTCGTCCTCATCGTCATTGCCATCCTCCTCCTCCACCTCGTCCTCCTCCTCCTCTGCTTCCTCGTCCTCCCTCTCGCCCCCTCGTCCTTTCATCATCGTCCTCCCATTGTCGTCCTCCCCCTCATCGGCCTCCATCATCGTCATCCCATTGTCGTCCATCATCATCATCATCATCATCATCATCATCATCATCATCATCATCATCATCATCATCATCATCATCATCATCATCATCATCATCATCATCATCATCATCATCATCATCATCATCCCCCTCCTCCCCCTCCTCGTCCTCCTGCTCCTCCTCCTTTTCTTTCTCCACATTCTCTTTACATCCTCTCTTCTTCCGCGTTTTCCTCGTCCCCTGTTTACTCCTCCTGCCTCCCCCTCCTTTCCCAAGATAACTGCAACGCAATCCTTTTTTCCACTTCATGCTCCCCGCCTTCTTTGATTAAGGCAACTCGCCAGGGCAGAGTTGCTGGACGGGCTGGTGTGGATGCGCGGGGCTTGAAGAGGTCCTTGCGGGCTCAGGCGGCATGCAAAAATCCGCTGCCGCGCTTGTGCGGCATTGGTTTGTTCAGTGAACGTGGTTTAGGTCGCGGGTGGGTCGCGGGTTCTCCACCTCCACCTGGAAGGAATGCAAAAGCAGCCCGCCGCAGGCGCCAAAAAAAATGGTTTGTACACTGAACGTGGTTTGGGTCGCGGGTGGGGCGCGGGTTCTCCACCGGGAACGAATGCAAAAGATGCCCGCCGCAGGCGCCGAAAAATGCGGTTTGTACCCTGAACGTGGTCGCGGGTGGGCCGCGGGCTCTCCCCCTGAAACGGATGCAAAAGATGCCCGCCGCAGGCGCCGAAGAATGTGGTTTGTACCCTGAACGTGGTTTGGGTCGCGGGTTGGTCGCGAGTTGGTCACGGGGTGGGTCGCGGGCTCTCAACCTGGAAGGAATGCAACATGATGGACCCACGAACCCGGAAAGGGATATAGACATGTGCAGCATGGTCACGTTTTCACGATATCCAACTGGGCGACACCTCACGAAACATCCCACGAGACACCCCGCGAAACATCCCAGGAGACACCTCACGAAACAACCCACGAGACACCTCACGAAACATTCCACGAGACACCCCGTGAAACATTCCACGAGACACCCCACGAACAGGCAACCACTCAACCAGACACCCCACGAAACATTCCACGGGGGTGCGACTGGGTGTGGTCGTGCTGGGGTGTGGTCGTGCTGGAGTATGGTCGTGTTGGGGTGTGGTCGTGCTGGGGTGTGGTCGTGCTGGGGGGTGGTCGTGCCGTGCTGGGGTGTGTCGTGCTGGGGAGTGGTCGGCTGGGGTGGTCGTGCTGGGGGGTGGTCGTGCTGGGGGGTCGTGCTGGGGGTGGTCGTGCTGGGGGGGGTCGTGCTGTGGTCGTGCTGGGGCGTGGTCGTGCTGGGGCGTGGTCGTGCTGGGGTGTGGTCGTGCTGGGGAGGTCGTGCTGGGGTGTGGTCGTGCTGGGGTGTGTCTTGCTGGGGTGGGGTCGTGCTGGGGTGTGTCGTGCTGGGGTGTGGTCGTGCTGGGGTGTGTGTGGGGTCGTGCTGTGGTGCTGGGTCGTGCTGGGGTGTGGTCGTGCTGGGGTGTGGTCGTGCTGGGGTGTGGTCGTGCTGGGGTGTGGTCGTGCTGGGGCGTGGTCGTGCTGGTGTGGGGTCGTGCTGGGGTGGGGTCGTGCTGGGGTGTGGTCGTGCTGGGGTGGTCCGCACCCTGTGATTCATCGATCGGGTCGTGCTGGGGTGTGGTCGTGGTGGGGTGTGATCGTGGTGGGGTGTGGTCGTGTTGGGGTGTGGTCGTGCTGGGGTGTGGTCGTGCTGGGGTGTGGTCGTGCTAGGGTGTGGTCGTGCTGGGGCGTGGTCGTGTTGGGGTGTGGTCGTGCTGGGGTGTGGTCGTGCTGAGGTGTCCCGCACCCTGTGATTTATCGATCGGGATTTCAAAAACAAGCGTTTCGCCTGAGACATCCTCAAATTTTAATCCGCCGGCCTCCTTCGACCTCGATATTTATCAGGGAAAAAATCCGCCGGCCTCCTTCAAGTTGGCACCGGGGGACAGGTTTACCCACTAAAAGAGAACCCTGGGCCCCCGCCCTTTCCGGGAAACATGATGGACCCACGAACCCGGAAAGGGATATAGACATGTGGAGCATGGACACGTTTTCATGATACCCAACTGGGCAACACCTCACGAAACATCCCACGAGACACCTCACGAAACAGCCCACGAGACACCTCACGAACATTCCACGAGACACCTCACGAAACATTTCACGAGACACCCCGCGAAACATTCCACGAGACACCCCACGAAACATTCAACGACGACAGGCAACCACTCAACCAAGGCGGTGTGGTCGTGCTGGGGAGTGGT